GTGCTCATGCTGGAAGCGTTGACCAGGCCACCGATTACTGTCGAGAAACTAGCAGACAAGACAAAAGAAGACGCTATTCTTTCCCGTGTGTACGACGCAGTTCAGAGTGGAAATTTCAGGAACCTTAAGGAAGACATCTTTCAATTATTCAGGAACAAGCACACTGAACTAGCGACACAGCGAGGATGTTTGATATGGGGATCACGTGTGGTGATACCAGCGTCTCTGCGGCCTGAGTCCTTGACTCTTGTACACTCAGGACATCGTGGAATCGTGGCCATGAAAGCCTGTGCCAGAAGTTACATGTGGTGGCCAGGAATTGACAAAGATATTGAATTATGTGTGGCGGAATGTGCCCAATGTCAAACAAACCAGAAAACCAAGATAAAAGTACCGATGACAAATTGGGAACGACCATCAACAGCCTGGGATACACTTCACATGGACTTTGCGGGTCCAGTGGAAGGGAAAGTATTCCTGGTCGTTGTAGACGCATACACCAAGTGGCTGGAGGTGCGAGTAGTTAGCAGCATGGCATCAAGCGCTGTAATCAAGGAGCTGCGGGGATTATTCGCCACATTTGGAGTGCCAAAGAAGGTTTGTTCAGACAACGGGGCTGCGTTCATCTCAGAAGAAATTGCAACGTTTTACCGCATGAACAACATCATCGCAGTCACGAGCGCACCTTACCACCCGGCAACCAACGGGCAGGCTGAGCGGATGGTACAGGAGCTCAAACAAGCTGTATCTAAAAAAGGAAGGGAAGACCTGTCGTGCGTGTTGTCACGTTTCCTATTCAAGCAACACACGACAGTGCACGCAACAACGGGCAAGACTCCTGCGTGGATGATGTACGGCCGAGAATTGCCTTCTGCCCTGGATCGACTCAAGTCATCCCTCTTCAAGCAGTTGCCTGAAGAAAACAGCGATATCCACAAATTTACTCGTGGACAACCCGTGTGGATTCGACAGTTCCCGAACGAGCGAAAGTGGATGCCGGGGTCCATCGCACGCCGCGCCGGACCACGATCCTGGATGATTGACACAGAGCGGGGTCAAATCAGACGACATCTAAACCATATTCGACATCGCGCTCCGAATTCGAGCTGCTGGGAGACACAGCCGCCACCACCAGTTTGGGACATGTGCTTACACGATCGACGGGGCACACATTCGGGCGCGAATGGTCCAGAGCAAACAACTAAACAGCACAGCACAGACGACGACGTTCGCCCATTACCAACAGTGGGATCTGCCTTGTCAACCGCGACGCGGGTGAGCTCCCGGGCGTGTCGACCACCGGACAGATACGGTGCCCACGTCTAAGGAGGAAGGGGTGTGATGTATCTACCGACACACGGCCGGCGGGCAAGTCTGCGAGCGCTGCGCACGAGCGCGTGGGTTTGTCTCGAGAGCTGGCTGCGCTCTCGTGAGCCACATAAAAAGCAATCTCAACCGTTTCGGATGCTTCGAATGTCTGTCTCGTCATTACCCCAGCTAAGGTCGTATACCTAGCTAAGGTTATTCCACAAGTTTCACCCACCCGTCACCATTCCACAAATTCTGGCCCCAACTCTTTCGTTAGTAATAATGCAGCCGGTCAACTGTAGGTTGAATAGTTTGCTGCCGATTTTCCTCCAGCAAAAGCCCTCCCGGGTCGAAGTCGGGCAGCACCGCGCATTGGCCACATTCACAACTAGTAAATAAATCGTACGTGTGCATATTCAACTCGAAGTACGCACTTCGCGCTTGACGTTTGCGCGAGCGATGTCTTCAGCCACGAGAAGGGGGTGACGGCTCGGCTACGTCTTCGTGCAAATCAGTTTGGTGGTCCGGCGTGTTGTACGGGATAAATACCAATTATTTTGATCGGTCCAAATTTTTTTTTCTTTTAAAGGAACACAGAATTCGCCAGTACCGCGAACGACAGTTCTGAAGCAAAGGTTCCACGCCCGTCGTCTGCTGCCATCGACGCCCCCCGCGAGTCCCACAATACGCGAAACGACGCCATGTTGAGAATCACGCGGTAAGCGCACAGAATGCTTCCAGTTTTCTGTGCAACTTTGTTTTCAGTCAACCTATTTGCAGCTTCTTGGAAGCCACAAAAAAAAAATGGTTTCATTTTTTTTTTTAATATTTTAATATTGAGTGTGTGCCTCCAATGATCAACGACTTTGATTACATTTGGTGGTTGAATCTAAACCTTAGAAAACGACCCGTGACCACGGAAAAGAGAGTGAGCGAGACTCAAACCGGCCAGTTCTTGATCGGCGGTTTCGGGCGGAAAGAAACCGAACTTCGAGACGCAAATTCTGTTCTGGGTAGTTGGGCTCTCATATGTCACGTAAAACTAAAAACCTCGGCGAGCATTCATACTCTGTCAGTGTCCCTTCAAGGCTAACATGGCATTGGCGCTTTTCTTTTTTTCTATTTTATCGCTTGTAAGAGGTCAGGACGAAAGTCAAATTATACCGCTTGTTGTATAAAATTACCAAGGATGGGCATATTCAGCCATGCTATTCTACTGGTTTTCACCTTGAAAACCGTAGTAAAAAAAAAGTGTGGATCCCTGCGGGGCATTATTAATTTCCCTCTTTACGTAAAGAATTAAGATATATGTAGGTGCATTTTAGGTTAGATGCATGTTATCTTATCAAGATGTACATACGCTTCAAACACCAAAAGCCTCGCTTCTCCCTCCGAGAACCATATCGTAAGAACTACTTCCTGCGGTGCCGGAACAATGCCCAAAACTTGCTCTTCTCTTGAGGTGAAAACGACTAAAGTAGTCACGATGACGTGATGTGTGATGACGAGTGATAATAAAAAGTCACTTTTTGTCCGTGGTTACCGCTTCTGTAACTGTCACGAACGCAAAATAACCATTATTATTATTATTATTATTATTATTATGGCATTATTTAAAACTGAGGATAAACAGAATAATAAAAATTGCAAAGGGCCTGCTGTTTTTTATTATTATCTTCTTAAATTATTCGATTTGATCTCTGTATCACACGTTGACAGTACACCGGACGTGCCCCACTATTTCTCACGTATGTTCTCTGTTCTGGCTGGATTGCTAGCATCATGGAGTGCACTTGTCACCTCGCAGGAGTGCACCGCGCTGAAGCGGCAGCCGCCTAGTAGACGTCGCAGTTTCGCAATTGTGGCTTCACTGCAGCGCACCCGTGTGTTACGGAGAAAGCCCTTTACCAGAGCGGGGCGTTGCACACGCTTTTTGAACAGAACTGCGGCTAGTGTATACGATAGACTGTAATATTTTGACGATATCTTTTTCACCTTCGAGATTCATCGAGAATACTTGAGTGTTGCGAGAAAACTTTTATTAACGGCTCTCTCTCTCTCTTTCTGTCGCTCTGTCTCTCTCTCTCTCTTTCTCTCTCTCTGTATATATATATATATATATATATATATATATATATATATATTGTCAGGTTTCAACGTCTCTTAAACACTTGCTCTAAGACACCCGCAAATCATGGCCGCTCATTCCAACCACCAGAACCAACTGCCCCCGAGCTACCATGCACTTCTTTCTCCTCAACCCGGTGGCTCGGCTGTGCGTGGCAACGGTCGACGAGTCTCGTCGGCCAACCCGATACATTACAATCCTCTTCCCTTAGATTAAATGTTCAGCCGGTCTTCACAAAACTTCAGCAGCTGGTCAGCATGTGCCAGTCCTGCTGGTCGTCCAGTATTGCGGTCCTTCAAGCGATAGTCGTTCAGCCCCACTTTCCCCACCACCACGAATGGCCCCGAGCGTCTCGGTGCCAATTTTGCCGCCACGCCCTTGCTGGCATCGCTTAGAGTGTGTAGATCACGGAGAACTAGATCACCGATCCTAAAGTTACACTGTCGTCGATTTCTGTCGTAGTAGCGGCGCTGCTGCTCTTGAACTCTTCTCTGGTTCTCCAGCGCAAACTCGTGTGCGTCTTGCAGCCTAGATGTCACCTCTGCCACAAAGCCTGGAGCTCGGCTGTCTGGTGTAGGAAGTTGACCGGGGTTTTGTTCCCATGGTTTGCGGAGCTGGCGCCCATAGCACAGAAAAGCTGGCGTGTACCCTGTGGTCACACTTTCGCAAGTTCTCATTGCGAATGAAACTTCAGGGATACGTTGGTCCCAGTCACGATGGTCATGGCAGTATGCCACGAGGCACTGCTTCACTGTTGCGTTATGCCGCTCTACCATCTGCCCTGCAGGGCGGTACGGTACCGTGCGGCGGTCTTTGATGCCGAGGTGCTTCATGACGTTCTTCCACAGCCGAGAAACGAAGACTCTTCCATTGTCACTGGATATGCTTTTTGGGAAGCCATGTCGACAAAACACGTCAATCATTTTTTCCAGGATGGCCTTACTGGTCGGAGTTCGAAGGGGAAATAGTTCAATAAACTTCGTGAACTTGTCGATGACCACGAGAAGATATCTGTGGTGGCGTTTTGATATAGGTAATGGCCCAATTATATCTACGCTCAGGTGTGCCATAGGTTCCTCTGCCCAGGTACTGTCCATTAGTCCCCCCAGCTTTTGACGACGAGGCTTCAAAGTCTGACAGGACGGGCAAGATCGCACATAGCGGGAAACGTCAGACCTCATACCGATCCAAAAATACCTCTCCGCGACCCGCTTCAGAGTCTTGAAGTACCCCAAGTGTCCGCTTAAAGGGTTATCGTGTGACAACTGCAGTACCGTTTGGCGTATTTGTTTTGGAACCCAGATGAGCTTTCTTTCCCCTGAAACCTTTAGTAGCTGTCCGTCATGATCGATTTCACTATCATCAGAAACATGTTGTATTCGACGTGCTTCTGTTTCGTCGGTCGGCAGAGTTCGGTCTTGGAGGTAGCGAATTACCTCGGAGATTTCAGGATCTTTCTGTTGTTCATCAGCCAGCTGGGATGCATTGAGGAACAGTGATATGTCCGTTTCCTCCACTGTGGCATTTTCCTCGAACCGAGGTCGGTGCTCTGGCTCCACCGTCTCTATGGGGAACCACTCATAGAGGGGGTACGTATATGGAGACGTCGCCACACGCGCTCCATTAATCCATCGGCAGCGTCGGCGAGTTCCTTGAGCGTGGCGAAGGTCCTTCCTTCAACGAGATCAAAGAACTGCGGGTGCATCTGTCGGAGTACCCTCTCCACCTTCTGCGCATCTGTCACAGGCTCGCCGATCCTGTCGTAGTAACTGCTGATGACATATATGAACTGCTTCAGGTTTTCCTCGGGGTGTTGAGTTCGTTTCCGCAATTCCTCTTTCAGTCGCTTCTTCTTGTCCACCGGCGCAAACTGACTATGGAACGCGGTGACGAAGCTGCCCCAGCTCGTAAACTCCCCCGCGAAGCGAAACCACAGCTTGGCACTTCCGTCGAGAACTGCGGGTACGACACGGCTGATGCGATCCTCTGGCTTGACACCCTGGATTAGGCAGTAACTCTCGAGCTTCTCTATGAACCCTTCTGGTGACTGTAGATCTCCAAAACCAGAAAACCTGGGAGGCTGGGTGGAGATCCACAGGGCATGCATGGGATCTTGATCGGGCGCTCCGTTGGTCGCAGTGACGGCTGGCGTTACCAACGGAGAGGGTAACAAGGGCTGCAAGGGCTGAAGCGATAAGGGCTGAGGCGACAAGGGCTGAGGTGACAAAGGTTGCAAGGGCTGAGGCAGCTCAGGGTCGAGCTCACCTTCTGCAAGCTCGATGGGCGCGGCAATCAAAAGCTCGCGTATGTGGGCGGCGATCTGTTCCCGATGGAGCGCTGAACCATCCGTTTGCTGCATCATCGTACGGAGAAAGTCTGGCGGCACGAAAAGCGGTCGATGAGACATCTTATTATCCCGGACGAGCCCCCACTTGTCAGGTTTCAACGTCTCTTAAACACTTGCTCTAAGACACCCGCAAATCGTGGCCGCTCATTCCAACCACCAGAACCAACTGCCCCCGAGCTACCATGCACTTCTTTCTCCTCAACCCGGTGGCTCGGCTGTGCGTGGCAACGGTCGACGAGTCTCGTCGGCCAACCCGATACCTTACAATATATATCTTATGTTAAGTTTTGTTTACAGTTTTGCCTTTGTATAGGTTCCGTCCTTTTTGATGGAACAGTAAAAGTAATAAAATAAAAGTAAATTAGCTGAGCAGTAAATGCAAGGTGAAAATAACAACTTCGTCTCTACTGCTGTTGTTTTTGGTTTTAAGAATGCATATTTATTGTTCACGGGCTGATCTTTGTTATGATAAACTTCTGCTTATAAAATTTCATTGATGTCTGTAATCAAATAAAAATACTACAATTTACAAAGATTAATAATTTTAGTTTTATTATAATATTTAAAACGTAAATGAAACGTTTGGCTGCTCACAATCGTTATATTCTAACATTATTTCAGTGGGATATACTATTTGGTTGGCGTTTCATTCAGCGCCTAAAATGACCACGCACAAGACTGTGAACTGTCCTTCATTGGTTATAATCAGGTTAACGTGCCTTGTGCTTCTAAGCTTAATTGAACTGCCGGCTATGGAATCAAACCTGTCGTGCTGTTGATGTCATCGAAAGGATGCACAGAAGCAGCAAGGCAAAGTAACCAAAGACGTAAATCTAAACACGATATTTGCACTGGTATGAATGACAATGAGATGTGGGGTTACGCTCCAAAAGTAGGTTTCGTTGCTCCAAAAGGTGCTCGAAAATGACTCAGTCCAATCACATCAGTGCAATCATGCTTTACCCCAACTTCAAAATTTTGAAAAAGGCGCGAAGATTAGATTTTTACGTGACGTCACAATTTCCCCGCTAAATTGAGCGGCGAAATTCTCCACGTGACGTAACGTGAAGTGACATCGTGACTTCACAATTTAGGCGTTAAATTTAGCAGGGGAAACGCTTCGCGAGACGTCACAGCGTCCTTGCTAAATTTACGGGAGAAACATAAATATCGTTCTAAATCTGGCGTGTAAAGAAAGCGCTTCTCGCATCACTTCCTATTTACTCCCGCTGATACATCTCCGCGCAACTCTTGACGGCCCACAAAGCAGGCGTAGGTGTAAGATACACGCTGAACTATGATATAACTTGCAGGTGAGAAAATGGATGAACACTTAGCCTTTCTATTTCAGTCAAACACTCTTTTTATGCGTTGCAGACAGGATTTTCTTCCATTTAGTTTCGCCTTGCTCGCGCCTTTGTTTTGGCGTCTGCACACTGCAACGCTCCGAGCATGCACATGCACATGCACGCACGCATACGCATACGCACACACGCGTGCGTGTGTGCGTACATACATACATACATACACATACATACATAGTAGATAAACTGTCACGGGATAGGGGCGGAGCAAAACAAATTTTATTCCTGGGAATGCGAGTTTTCAGAGCGCAGCTGGCTCTACAACACTGTGTTTGGGTCTGCCCTGTTTTTCAAGATCCCTGGATATGTGATGATCGATAAGATCGGTAGAAAATAGAGGTACTTTTTTTTTTTATTTCTCCAATTGTGCAATGGAGTGATAAGCACGTTTTGATACTCTTTGCCCGTACCGACATTTAGTTTCCTTGGGGACTTTCTTTTGATACCAATGGGGATGCGATTCGTAGAAGTGTCATGATTTTGAAGCACAATTTTGACGTGCAAACTTGCTATCTTCCGTCTGATTTTGATTGAGTGTGTTTCTCGTACAAATGTATCCTCAACCCCATCCCCCCCCCCCCTTTTCTCACGCTGCAATAATGTGGAGTAACATGTAATTTATACATACATACATATGCTCATTGCGAAATAAACGAGTACAAAAATTAAACAGGCCCGGAAAAGCACGCGCCTGCTTGTGCGCGGGACACGATAAGAAAATCGAAGGACGATGCAAGAAGCGCATGGACATTTTAAGGCACGCCCTGCTTTTTGTAAACTCTCACTCCAGTGTTCCGTCGTCACGTGGTAGGGAGCGACGTGTCTCATACAAAAGATCCCTTCCTCGACCATACGCTATCACTTTACAACCATGCCCTCGCTCCTACTTCCCCGCAGGGCACGTGAAGAGCCAATCGGCGCCGTGTACGGAGAGCTCTCGGCCAACGACACGTCCGAAAACATTTTTCAAACTCGTAAGCACGTAAAGTACCGCCCTCGTATTTTGGCCGATCGACTAATTACACGCGGTGCAAGCGGTTCCACCTCGTGCCTCGCTGCGCAGGAGCGCGCGCTGAGTGACACCTGACGGCGGCGAGGCCCACCCAGAACCAAACGAAGAGCATTTTCTTCGGACGCGTTATTTACGAGTTGCAGTCGTCGTCTGCTTCCGCCAAACGAACAAACGCCCTCGAGCCCGTCTCGACGAGTCACGTTCGCCGACGTTATTTAGCGGCCATTATTTTCGAGAACGCAGCGGGCAGCAGCGCTGTGGTCAGGCGCTGCAGCGACAAGCGTGCACGCCACCTGGCGCCTGCGCAACGCGGGCTCGCGGCAGCGCATTATTTCGCGTGGAAATCGGACTGCCAGAGCGACCACGCCGAGAAGAGCAAGTTGGGAAACGTTGGCTATCAGGAGTACGTAAGCCGTGTCGCGTGCTACAGAGACCCCTATTATCGCTCCCCATGTGAACGAGATTGCGGCCGCTAAGAACGTCGAAGAATTCATAACGAAGCTACAAGTGTAAACGTGCCACATTCTGCGCATTTCTAAAGAGCGACACGCGGTAACGCCTTCGTCGATGCCGCCGAACTTCGCAATCTTTGTCTCTCTTTTGAAGATTGAGCTGGCCACTCTCGCGCCCTTTTGGATTGGTCGGGTCGTACCGCGTGATCGCAGTTCAATTTTTCTTGGGTGCACCTCGGGAACGACCCACGCAGAACGAGTCAAAAGGAAGCATTCAAAAATATATATCCAAAGGGCGAAACAAATATGTAGAGCGTTTCAAGTGCCTTCGGAAAGGACTAGAGCAAATAGACGAGGTAACCAGTTGCATAAGTGGGCGGCTAAGATTCGACCACTCGGTCCCTGAACTTTGCCTCGGTGATTCTCTCGCGTGGGTGTTTTAAAAAAGAGACTTCTTTCCTTCTCTCCTACACTCGTACTCCGTATTTACTTTTTTTTTTTTTTTTTTGCTCTCAAATTATTGGTTTAGATTACCTACCATGGAGGGCTGTCAGGTCTGGATTTGTACTGGTTATAAGTATCAATGCTATTGCATCATGTTACTACGCGTATATATATAGCGTGTCGCAAGTCACCAGGCTCGATCTAAAATTGACTGTAAAAATCGGCGCCTGCACGTAGCAATCCAAACTTTTTGTCAAATCTGTATTTTACAGGTCGGTTTTTTCTTGTAAAATTACAAAGCGTAGCTCTCTTTCTGTAAAAACTAAGGCCAAGAAACTTGCCAGGGTCAACTGCGGACGGCGACGCAGATGACCGAGTCGAGTTGCGGGGTGTGTTTGGCGCGCGTATTGATAAATGGCGTCGGACCCGAAGGTGTAGCCGACCAGCGAAAGAAAGCAGACGACACACAGACGAAATCCGTGGGCAGCAAACGAGACGTTGTTATGCAAAAGCGTTTTTTTTTTTCTTTTTCTAATTTTACTTTTCGTTGTGATTCTATTGCTCGCATTTATTTTTAAACCAAAGGTATATTATACAAAAGGTTATGTCCGTTTTAACACACCACGGTGGTCGCGAGCAGTCTCGATAACTTATCAATACGAGCGCCAAACGCGTCCCGCAACTCTACTTGGTTGTCTGCGTCGCCGCCCGCCTTTCACCCTGGCAAGTTTCTTGGCCCTATTTTTTACAGAAAGAGAGCTACACTTTGTAGTATTGTGCTTTTCCACCTGGTTTTATTAACAGTTTTCTTCATTTGGTACCGAAAGTGTTAAACTTGTATTGTATGAACCTATACATTATTTCTTATTAGAACGAAACTGCGTCCCTAGACACTCCCATGCTGCCTGTGACAATGTTTTATCTGGGGGCGCCCAGCACTATGTTGGAAATAAAAAGTTGATTGAATCGAACATAAATTAAAAGGAAGGGTTTTCAGTTATGCAGCGTAAAATACTGCAAATATATTGCATTATATAGGTTAAGGTGAAATTATGGTTCCCACCAGAGGGACAAAGGACGTTTGCGAAACTCTCAAGTAAGCTTATTTTAAACTTTCATTTTGCGTCTAAACATCGCCAAATATCTTCTTTCTTTCCTTCTTTCTTTCATTCTTTCTTTCCTTCTTCCTTTCTTTCTTTCTTGATTTCTTCTTTCTTTCTTTGTTTCTTTTAAGAGCGTTATACACTGCTGAAGGGCGGGTCACATCGAAGAGCGTGTGCTTTCTTTCTTTACGTCGCCAGGTAAAATTTGGTGCTTGCGGCGCAGGCGAGCAGGCTACGATAACACCTGTTATTGATGGACGAAGAGGGAATTGGTGCGAGTCAGATCTGAAGAGAGAATAAACATGTTAGGCAAGATTGTGTTGCCATTGACTTGCATGCGTATTATTTCTTCAATCCTAATAGTACCTTCTTTGGAGTCGGGTGTCGGGAATATTTATTTAATTATCAATAAAATATAGAACTGAACACTCAATTATTTATCGAAATGAACAGAGTCCTCGCAATCGCTTTTGCACAGAGTAGTTGTAAAGTTTATCACTCTCATTTATGGAGGAAATTCAGCTAAGGACAAGACACTGACGCAGTTTATTCGGTCTGTACTGGCTCATCTCATCAAGAAATACCCTAGCTGTTTGAGGTAAACAGAAAGACCTATATTTTTTTTCTTCGCGTTCAAACTACAGGGCATGCGCACTGCTCACAGCGCTTGCTCATACCGAAATCA